TGTGGCTGAGCCTTGGGAGCATCATCTGTCCTCAGACAAACAAACACTCCAGTTCCCAAAGTTGAAAGCTTTTGCACAAACGTTTTTAACAAAACGCCTCTCGTCATTTAATAAAATAACAGTAACTAATTAAGCTATATTAAGTTGCATAAATACCTTGAAATTATGAAGGCACAGTTGGAACAAGTAAAGATGCTGTTTACAGATGTGCTAAATACTGTAATTTTTATAATAACAACACCCATGCGTGTCAGCCATTCATTACTGCATGTATCTCAGAGAGGAAGCATCCACTCTGTAGCTGGTGAACAGGCGTGGGCATGGGGTGGTGGCAGAGAGACACAGTCAGCTAACATAATAATGGGCCGTCTTCAAGTTCAGACTGAGATAATCTGGCTGCATTTATAAAAGCTTATGGAAATGAAATGCTTACTCGGATTTATGAATCTTCTTAAAACATTCTTTTAGAAAGGTTTTAACGATAACAGTAAAGACACAATACAACTCTTAAACACCTTAAATTTGAGAAATATTGCAGTGCAGAAAATCTAAGTGCCAGGCATACATGGCATATATATGTGCAGTGATGCACAGTTTCCTAAAGTAGGTTACATTCCATAGCTGCTGTCACTATGAAGGAAGAACAAGCAGTCGGCCCTTTGTTTAGCCAAAGACTGCCCAAGTCTGAGAGGGTCTCTGAGGATTCCTACACTGCACTGGGAGTAGCCATAGTGCACAGTGTTGTTTTGTATACACATTTATCAATGTTATTAAATTCATAAATTGTGATCAATATTGTGTATGTTCTAAAGCAAGAATGTGAAATAGCACACAATTTTGGGCTGGCTTTGAACAATATAATACATTTTTTTTTTTGCCAGCAATTCGAAAAAATCCTTAGAAAAAATGAATAGAGCATCGGTGACGTCACCCGTAGCCTGCTGAAAGGATTTTGTAAAGGTTGTCCTCTGAATCGCATGACCCACTCTCTGGACACAAGCTCACAAGCCAACTGAACACTACAGGTTCAGTGTGAAATGACAAAAGCCAAAATGTCAAACATCTAGCGAGTAAAAGGGTCTTAGATATTTTTCCTGGGAGCTGGCCAGTCAATCCACGTTTAAAATGACTTATAGTATGACATGTGGTGAGATAGAGGACTGCAGATGGCGCTCTGATAAAACATGATAAGGTGTCCGGAAAATGATTCTGCTGCCATGTTTGTTATTTTGTATATAGAAATGTTTTTTTCCGAGGTAATAGTCATAATATATAAGTAATAAGTAAGCAATTATTTGCTAAGATGAGCCATGAATGATAAAGTTTTCTTGCTATAAGTTTGTTTTTGAGTTTTGCTGCCTGTGATTTGTTAGAAAAATGTTGTGAGTGGGACCAATTCTCGTCCGTGCGAGGTCACTTCCTGGAGTCTTTTATCACTATGAGGCTGCCAGGCAGAGATTTTCCAAAGTTAAAGGGGAACTTCGGCAGATTTTTACCCAAGTCTTGATCACTAGAGGTCACCGAGAACTGTCGATAGG